GGGCACACATAGCGGCGTGTGGGGTATGGCAAGATGCAGTGGTACGCCTTCTACAATGAGCCCGCTGGCGGCTCCGACCCTCCCGGCTGCCTCTCTTTGCCTCTGCCTCTCTTTGCCTCCGCCCTGCCCCAACCCCCACCCCCCACCCCCACATTCAGGCTGCAAGCAGCGCCTCTTGGAGCTGTTCGGGCACTGGGCTCCAGGTGTTGTTGATTTGATCCAAGCGACGCCGGAGGAGGACGCGCTGCAGGGGGACATCTGCGAGCGCATCGTCATGCCCTCTTCTTACTCGAGCTGCTAGCTTGCTGTCTCCCCCCCCCCCTCTCCCCTGCAGGTCGCAAGGAGAGGTTGATGCAGCTCTTCGGGCACTGGCGGATGGCGTGGTGGACCTCATCCAAGCGACGCCCGAGGGGACGTGCTGCGGCGGGACATCTACGACCGCATCCCCATCTTCCAGTGGAGCAAAGGGCGCGTCACGCTCATGGGGACGCTGCGCACGCCATGCAGCCCAACATGGGGCAGGGCGGATGCATGGCCATCGAGGTGAGCCCATCCCCTTCCGTGCCATTCTGTGATGCTTCAACTTGCCATACCACAACATGCCATGCCATGCCATGTTGTGCCGTGCTTTGCCAGACATGCCATGCCATGTCTTACGCCATCCTCTATCTCCTCCATGCGCTCACTTCTCCCCAACTCGCTTTCCCCTCCCTCCCACCTCTCGCCCACCTCTCTCCCCCTCTCGCCCACCTCTCTCCCCCTCTCTCCCACCTCTCTCCCACCTCTCTCCCACCTCTCTCCCACCTCTCTCCCACCTCTCTCCCACCTCTCTCCCACCTCTTTCCCACCTCTTTCCCACCTCTCTCCCACCTCTCTCCCATCTCTCTCCCACCTCTCTCCCACCTCTCATCCACCTCTCTCCCACCTCTCTCCCACCTCCTCCCACCTCATGGTCACAGCATGGCGGCTCACCCTCACTCTCACTCGCTCATCCCTCACTCAATCCCTCGCTCCCCACCGGACAAGGCGCTGGAAGGGGCGAGGAAGCGATCGGAGAGCAAGGGGGAGAGTTGAGGGAGCACGTGGACGTGGCGGGTGTGGTGCTGCAGTACGAGGGGGAGAGGGGAGAGGCGCCTGAGGGCGGGGGCTGTGCACGGCAAGGCATGGCGGCTCACTCTCACTCTCACTCTCAATCTCGCTCTCACTCACTCATCCTTCCCTCGATCCCCACCCCTCCTGCCCCCATCCCTCCCCTTTCACTGCTCTCAGGGCGGCTTCCAACTGGCCCTAGGCTAGACCTTGACAAGGCGCTGGAGGGAGCTAGAAAGAAATCGGAGAGCAAGGAAGCGATCAGACAGCAAGGGGGGGGGAGCTGAGGGAGCACGTGCACGTGGCAGGCGTGGTGCTGCAATGCGAGGGGGAGAGGCGGCTCAGAGCGGGGGCCGTGCACGGCATAGCATGGCAGCTCGATCTCTCACCCTCACTCACTCCCTCACTCCCTCGATCTCCATCGCTCCTGCTCCCATTCCCCACCCATTCCTCACCCTCAGGACGGCTTCCAACTGGCCCTAGACCTGGACAAGGCGCTGGAGGGAGCTAGAAAGAAATCGGAAAGCAAGGGGGGCGAGTTGAGGGAGCACGTGGACGTGGCGGGCGTGGTGCTGCAGTACGAGGGGGAGCGGCGCCTGAGGGCGGGGGCTGTGCACGGCATGGCGCGGACAGCTGCGATTATGGCGTCCACGTACAGGGCTTACCTGGGGGAGGGCTTTGCCCCACTCTCGGTGAGTTGTGCTCTTTGGCCTTTCGCATTGTCCCGCTGCTAGCTGCACCCTTAAGCTCACGGCATGGCATGGCATGGGCATGGCATGGCATGGCATGGGCATGGCATGGCATGGCATGGGCATGGCATGGCATGGCATGGGCATGGCACGGGCATTGCATGGCATGGTATGGCATGGCATGGTATGGGCACGGCATGGCATGGCATGGCATGGCATGGGCATGGCATGGGCAGGGCATGGCATGGCATGGCATGGCATGGGCATGGAATGGCATGGCATGGCATGGCATGGGCATGGAATGGCATGGCATGGCCATGGCATGGGCATGGGCATGGCATGGGCAGGGCATGGCATGGCATGGGCATGGAATGGCACGGCATAGCCATGGCATGGGCATGGCATGGCATGGGCATGGCATGGCATGGCATGGCGAGGACCACTGCCATCATTGCGTCCACTGGGGGACGCCATGATGGCGTCGCCTTGAGGACCACTTACCACACGTACCTGGGGGAGGGCTGTGCTCCGCTCTCGGTGAGTTGATGCCCTCTGGTTGCGCCCCACTCTCTTGGCAAGATATCCTCGTCTCCTAGTCTTGTTGTCCTCCCAGTTGCACCCTTAGTCTCCTGGCAAGTCATGGCATGGCGCTGACCGGACCCCTGTCAGAATGACTTCTTCCACGTACAGGGCGTACCTGGGAGAGGGCTTTGCTCCTCTCTCGGTGAGTTGAGCTTGCCCTATGCCCCATGCTGCGTCGCCCATAGCCCCTCCTTACCCCCTCGCTCCCCCTCCTCTCTTCTCCCCCGCTTCCTCCCTTTCACCACCCCTTCATGGCTGGTGAACTGGCGGTGCACCCCCCACTGGGGCAAGTTGAACTTGAACAGACCCTTATCTTCTCCTCCCGTTTTCTCTCTCCCCCCTAACCTTTCAGTGGCTAAAGAACTGGCGCATCCCCCACTGGGGCAAGAATGCCATACATGCGGCTTCATTAATCCCCTCTCCCCTTCCCCCCCCCGCACCCGTTTCCTCCCCCCGTTTCCCCCCCAGTGGCTGGTGAACTGGCGCATTCCCCACTGGGGCAAGATGGGCGGGCAGGTGGTGATGAAGCTCTTTATGCCAGGCATGCTCAAATGGGTGCTCACCGGCAACACGTGAGTGATGGGTGCTCACGGGCAACACGTGAGTGATGGGCGCTCACTGGCAACACGTGAGCCATGATGTGTTGTGTTCTGTGGCTGGTCACTGGCCCACTGTACGAGACTGTAAACGGGATCTAGTGCGAGCTACCAGGCGGTGATGACGCTCTCCATGCCGCCCATGCTCAAATGGGCTCTCACAGGGAGCACGTGAGTGATGGTGTGGAGAAGGTGCTTTTGAGTGCTAGCAGGTGTGTCGAGTGCCTTGTCAGTTGCTGCTTTGTTCTGCGGTCATGCTTCTCCGCTTTTCCGTTCTCACCTGTCCTCTTCCCTTCCTTCCGATTTCCCCCATCCTCCCCTCCTCCCTTCCTCCCCTCCTCCCCCCTCCCGCCCCTCCGCCCCCATTTCCTCCCCTCATTCTCGGCAGCTTTGCTCTGGAGGGGCGCGCACCCTACTGCCGCATCACTGACAAGGTGAGCAGCCTGAGGGCTCTTCGGGTTTTTAGGGGGTTTGTGAGTTTAGGGGCTCTTCGGATACTGCCGAGGCACCACGTCAAGGTTAGTAATGGCTTACGTTAGGGGGGTGACAGTGGGGGGAAGGGAGCGGAGTGGGGTATGGAGTGGGGTATGGAGTGAGATATGGAGTGGGGTATGGAGTGGGGTATGGAGTGGGGTATGGAGTGGGGTATGGAGTGGGGTATTGAGTGGGGTATTGAGTGAGGAAGCGACATTTCTTTCATCCTTATTCTATGCGATGGTTGTTTCGCTCGTCACTCACCTCCTCATCCACCTCCACCTCTAGTTCTGAGCCGCCTCAATACTAGTCTGGTTACTCATCCCCTCCTCCACCTCCACCTCTCATGCTCCTCTCCTCCCTCCCCATATCAGGCGAGTGAAAACCTGCCAAGTGGATGGCGGACAACGACGCTGATGCATTAGAGCGCGCAACGGAGGCCGAGTGGTTCCTGAGGCATGAAAGGCGACTGTTTGCTCTCTCTGCTCCCCCTCCCCCTCCCCCCCCTCCATTAGGCGAGCGAAACCTCGCCAAGTGGATGGAGGACGACGATGCGTTGGAGCGAGCAACAGAGGCGAGTGGTTCCTGCTGCCCGCCGCTGACCGCATGCCCCTCTCCGGCACCACCACTGACTCCGGCCGACCCATTCTGCCCCTCGCTGTGGCTGTGACGCCTGAGGGCGCGCCTGCTTCCACCATCACGTCGGCCATCACCATCGTCGGGTGAGAGGTCCTTCCTGCATCATCCCGGCTCGTCTCTCGTCAGAGGCCGAGTGGTTTCTTCCTGCTGCCTGCATCGATACACATGCTGGGACTGGGACTGTCTCTCACTCCGGCTGGCCCATTCTGCCCCTCGCTGTGGCTGTGACGCCTTAGGGCGCCCCCGCTTCCACGATCACGGCTGCTATCACCACCTTCTGGTGAGAACTCCTTCCTCTGCTGTAGCTGCCCCTCACTGGGACTGTCACCCACTCCAGCCGGCCCATTCCTCCCATTGCTGCCGCGCTTCCACCGTGACATCTGCCAGCACCACCGTTGGGTGAGCATCCCTTTCTGGTCTGCCAGCAGTATTTTGAGTCGGTCTGGTCTGCAGCCTTGAGTATCTGGTTGGAGTGATCGAGTTGTTGTGCGAGGGTGGTCTGGTGGCCCGTGAGTGGTTGGTGGTTGGTGAGCACACAGTATTTTCGTATGAGGTCCGGAAGTGTCTCTGGGTCTGCCAGCCACCCCAGACCAGGTATTTTTGGCAGGATCGAGTCTGGCCCGTGGGATCTGCCCCTAGCACCAGTATTTTGAGTCGAGTCTGGTCTGCCAGCACCAGTATTTTGAGTCGAGTCTGGTCTGCACCATAGTCATCTTTTAGTATTTTGAGTCGAGTCTGGTCTGCCAGAATCCTTCTGCCAAAACCCGCCATGCCCTTTCTCCAGCACCATCTTCGGGTGAGCGCCCCTTGCTGAACCTTGGTATTTCCTCTGACCACGTGGCTCTTGCGCATCACCCCGGCCAGCTACGCACATCCTCCTCCCTCCTCTCCCTTTCTTCCCTCCACTCCCACCGCTCCTCTCCTCTTCCTCACTCACTCCCCTCCGCTCTGCAGAGTTTGCACCGGGCAGTAACACAGCAGGCCCGCAGCCGTCTTCTCGTCGTCGGCCTCGGCCAGCTGTGCAGAGTGTGCGCGTGCCAGCGCCGCAGCAGTCATCTCATCGTCTTTCCCACCCCAAATCCACTTCTCCTTCTCTCCTATCCCCTTACCCTCTCTTTCCCGTATCTCCCAAACAGCTCTGCAGAGTGTGCACCAGCTAGCGGCGCAGCAGCTGTCATCTCCTCCCTGGGGTACGTTCAGCACTCTCCTCCCCGTCGTCCTCTTCCCGCCTTCTCCACCCCCCGCTCCCCTCACCCCCCCACCCCCCCCGCTCCCCTCTCCCTTTCTCCCCACCACCACGATCCCTCATACACCAACCACCCTCTCCCTCCCCTCCGGTTTTGGGTAGGCTGCATCCCAAGTTCCTTAGTCCCTTAGGCCTTGTTTCTTGATTTTGATTCACATAAGAGAGGACTGGCTTGCCCTTGCTGTAGGAGTGCAATCGAGTCAAGAGCCAGATGCGTCAAGAGCCAGTTCCATCATGAATTCGACTTCACGACTGCTCGTTTCACAGTGACATGCACTCTGCCCTTTCACTCTGACACGCACTCTGCCCTCTCACTCTGACATGCACTCTGCCCTTTCCATTCTGACATGCACTCTGCCCTTTCACTCTGACATGCACTCTGCCCTTTCACTCTGACATGCACTCTGCCCTTTCACTCTGACATGCACTCTGCCCCTTTCATTCTGATATGCACTCTGCCCTTTCACTCTGACATGCACTCTGCCCTTTCACTCTGACATGCACTCTGCCCTTTCACTCTGACATGCTCTCTGCCCTTCACACTGCCTGCTTCCTTGCCTGATCCTTTGCTTCTCGTTGTCTTGTCTTGTCTTGTCATGGCATGGCATGGCATGGCATGGCAACAACGTTTAATGTCAACAACGTTCGTCGTTCAACCAGGTGGAGGAGAAGCATTGCCGCATTGAGAGTCGCAGCGACCACACCTTCTATGTGACCGACCTGAGCCAGTCCCAGGGCACCTGGATCCTCAGGTAGGGCTGTCGGCACTTGTTCAGACACACACAGTTGGTTGCAACCAGCACTGTCATCAGGTACAGGTAGCGAGCACACCTTTTATGTGACCGGCCTGAGCCAGTCCCAGGGCATCTGGATCCTCAGGTCGGGATGTCGGCAGTTATCTGCGCCTCTGTTACAATCAATCTCTGGTCTCTTTCACAATCTCCTCCCTGGAATCAACAGGGCGCCCTCCAAGCTCACTCCCATCGCACACACCCATCAGTACATCCATATCTCTCTCCCAACCTCCTCACCTCCCCTCCAGAGTGGACGGAGCTCGCTCCAAGCTCACTCCCGGCTCGCCCACTCGACTGCACCCGGGTGACTCCCTCCAGTTCGGACCAATCCCGAGGTCAGTGAACCAAACCCCGAGGTCAGTGAATCAAACCCCGAGGTCAGTGAATCAAACCCCGAGGTCAGTGAATCAAACCCGAGGGCAGTGAATCAAACCCCGAGGGCAGTGATCAAACCCCGAGGTCAGTGAATCAAACCCCGAGGGCAGTGAATCAAACCCCAAGGTCAGTGGAATCAAACCCCGAGGGCAGTGAATCAAACCCCGAGGGCAGTGAATCAAACCCCAAGGTCAGTGAATCAAACCCCGAGGTCAGTGAATCAAACCCCGAGGTCAGTGAATCAAACCCGAGGTCAGTGAATCAAACCCCGAGGTCAGTGAATTGGACGCTGAGGTCAATCAATCAAACCCCGAGGTCAGTGAATCGAACCGTGAGGTCAGCTGACAAGAGTGCAGTCCACCTTCAGAACCCGTAGTCTAATTTATGGCGCGTTTCTCTGCCCTTTCCCTGTGTGCTACTGTGTGTGCGATGTGCTGGAGCAATGTTGGCTGTGATCACTCATCAGGCTCTCTTCCGCATCAAGCTGAGGAAGGCGGAGGACAGCGGTCGGGGAAAGGAAGCCATTGCAGCTGCGACTGCCTAGAATGGCATGGAGTGTTAATGCTCCATGCTCCCATAACTGCTCTGTGATGCTTTGAAACAATGCCAGGAATGATGGCGAAGTGAGCAAATCGCAAGGTCTGGTTTCCAGATTCTGTTCTTTCCTAATGTACAGTAATGTAGTATAGACCTTGAAACTGGAAGTGATGGGGAAAGTCACTCTATGATATGGTACAGAAGATATTCCTTTCCCAGTGTCATACCTAACAGAATAATTGAAATGATGGTAAAGTGAGAGTACACACAAATATATCTAAGTTTTGTATCCTCTAAGAGGTGACTCTATACAGTCTATACAAACATGACAAATACACATGTTTGACACACCCCCTAGACTGCATAGGGGAATACCCTAAACAAGCAGCTCAGGGCGGCACTACTAGTCCAACCTCTGAGACAAGAGTCTGAGCGACCGGTCAGAAGGAGTACAGACAAGGCAAGCACAAGAGCAGGGCGGCATTACTAGTCCAGCCACTGGGAGAGGACACAAGTCCAGTCTGAGTATACATATAAAGGACAGTACAAAGTCAAGGTCCTAGCAAGTGAGAGGCTACATGAACTAGACCAAGCTGTACACAGTGCCGCTGATGATCTTTAGGCGCAAGCGCCTTCGTAAAGATATCAGCCGTGTTGGCACCTGAGGCCAAGTGTACTACGCGAGCCTGACGTCGCTGCTGTAGCTCACGCAGGAGGAAGTACCGCAGCTGAATGTGCTTCGCTCTGCCCTCGAGTCGAGGCTCCTGACACAGGAGGATCATGGCCCTGTTGTCAGCGAACAGGACCGGGGCAGAGCTAGGTCGCTCACCTAAGTCAGTGAGCAAGAAGGTCAGCCAGCGGAGCTCCTGTGCCGCCATGGCACCGGCGTAGATCTCAGCCTCACAGCTGGACTGTGCAACAGACGAGGAGCGAGTAGCTCTCCACGAGACGGCACCTGAGCCAAGGCTGAAGCAGTAGCCCTGGGTAGACCGGAGTGTCTCAGCGTCGTCTGCCCACGAAGCGTCTGTGTGCCCAGTAAGGACCGCTGGCCTGCGTCCTCCTAGCACTAACCCCATGCCCGATGTACTAGCAAGATAACGCAGAACCCTCTTAGCGGCAGACCAGTGCTGCGGTCGGTGTCTGCCTGTGGCCACAAAGCGAGCCAGGATGCTGAGAGGGTATGCGAGATCTGGGCGAGTGCAAGTCATCAGGTACATGAGGCAACCCACCAGCTCTGCGTAGGGGCCGCTGGGCTCTACCAACTCCTCAGGCACTGGAGCGGAGAGCCTGTGGTCTACAGGCAGAGGGGTGGGCTGTGCAGAGGAGAACTGAAGGCTGAACCTCTGAAGGACCTGGCGCACCAAGTGTGACTGAGTCAGGGTGATGGTGCGCGCAGCTCTGTCCCTGGAGATCTGCAAGCCAAGGTAACGGCGCAGTTCTCCAAGGTCAGTGCAGGTGTGTCTCTTCAGCAGCTCTGCCTTCACGGAGGCCAGCGCGTCCCTGTCTGCTGTGGCAAAGACCAGGTCGTCGACGTAAACGAGGATGTAGAACGGAGTCTGGCCAGCACGAACGAAGAGTGAAGGGTCTGCAGAAGACGGAAAGAACTGCAGGTCAGCAAGCGTAGCTCGCAGAGTGTCGTGCCACTCACGGGGAGCCTGGCGCAGGCCGTAGACGGGGCGCCGCAGGAGCCACTGGGTCCCAGGAGGGAAGGTGCCAGTAAAGCCCGGAGGGCGGCGCAGGTAGACCTGCTCGTGTAGGCTGCCCTGAAGGAAGGCAGTGGAGAAGTCGAGGGAGTGAAGCTCGTAGTCACGCTGAGCAGCTAGGTGTAACAGAACCCGAAGAGTAGTCATCTTCGGGGTCGGAGCGAAAGTCTGGAAGAAGTCCACCCCCTCGCGCTGACTGAAGCCTCTAGCCACATAGCGCGCCTTGAAGACAGGCGGCTCTCCAGGAGGGCGCTTCACCTTGAAGAGCCAGCGGCCATCGACTACGTTCACCCCAGGTGGGGGAACTGCGTCGACGAAGGTGCCGGTGGATCTCCAAGATGCCATCTCCTGCTCCATGGCAGCTATCCACTGCGAGGCCCAGGGTCCCGAAGTCGCCTCAGCGTAAGTGCGAGGGGTCGGGATGTCGAAAGCGTCTGGGTCACCCTCAGGGACTAGCAGCATGGAACAGAGATGGGGAGCAGCCTCGGAGAGGAAAGCAAGCTCGAACTGGCGGTCCTCCAGGACGTCACTGCCAAGGGCAGGAGCACCCCCGACAGACGGAGGACAGGCAGGGTCAGAGACCAGAGCGGTGGCGTAGTCAAGGCGGCGGGTAGAGGCGAAGTCAGCGACAGCAGCGACAAGAGTGTCAAGGCACGAGACTGGAACAGACGGGTCGGTAACGAGAGAGGCAAGGACGCGAGGAACAAGAGGACGAGCGGCACGAAGGTAGTCGGACAGCGGGGGGGGCGCAACAACAAGGGAGGACGGAGGAGGCGACGGCAGAAGGGGAGGACGAGACGCGTGTGAACGAAGCAACATAGGGTGGGAGCGCAGGACAGGCGAGGCACGACGAGCACGGGAGGGACGGTGAGACCAGACGTGCGATGGAGGAGTCGGGTCAGGAGACAGGGGAGGGGACACAGGAGGGGAACGAGGGGGGAGACGGGCCGGGGACGAGTCCGGCGGAGGGAAAACAGGGCCGTAGACAGGAAGAGGAGGAGACGGTCGGGGAGGAACTGACGCAGGGTCGGGGGACGGAAGGCCGAGCAGGCGAAGGGCGGACACCGGCGGGGACTGCTGCTGCGGCGGCACAACGGCGACACCTGGACCGCAAGCTGCTCCTCGGCTACCACCGGCACTCTCCACACCCGCACCCCCAGAGGGACCACCCTCAGGGCGACCGGGACGAGCACCCCCAGAGTCAGCGAACGGGGGCTGCGACTGCGGCGGCGGCGACGGCGACGGGTGCATGGCGGCAGGGACGGCGGAGGAGGGGACTGGGGAGGGGACACCTGGGGAGGGGCGGCCGGCGAGGACTGCACCGGAGGGCCACCAGAGTCAGAAGACTCCTCAACCGGGTCCACGGACGGAAGGGGGGTGACATGGGAGACACCAGAGGGGGCGGGACGGGGAGGAGGAGGAGGAGGGGCAGGGACTACCGGGGAAGGGGTGACCAGGAACAGGGGGGGGGTAACCGGGGGACCACGGTGGGGGAAGCGGCGGTAGTAGGAGACGGACTCGTCAAAGGTGACGTCACGAGAGTGAAAGAAGCGGTGAGACGGCGGGTGGTAAAAGTGCCAGTCGGACGCGTCAAGGGGAAAACCGAGGAAGACGCAGGGAAGGGTGCGGGCAGTGAGCTTGTCCGTGCCGGAGGCACGGACGTGAGCAAGGCAGCCCCAGACGTGGAACGCAGACGCGTCACCAGGAGACCAGTCCACAGACGGGTCGGCGAAACCTGCGGCTGCTGAGGGTGCGGCCACAGGTTAAGCTGGTGAGAAGCGTAGCGCACAGCGAACGGCCACAGAAAATGGGGTGCACTCGGCATGGACCATGGAGATGCGAGCGACCTCCATGACCAAGCCGATGCGTCGCTCAGCGACCCCATTCTGCTGTGGGGAGTCCGGTAGGGTGAACGTCTGGGTGATGCCCTCCGCACGACAAAAGCGACCAAGGACACCTGAGGCAAACTCGCCACCACGGTCTGAGTGAAGACGCAAGACAGGGAGACCGCGGTGGACACGCGCAGAGACAAGCCAGGGGATGAGGGCGCCAGGCACGTCGGCCTTGCGCTCCAGGGGAAAGACTGTGGTGTAACGAGTGAAGTCGTCGACAAGCACAAGGAAGTAGCGCTCGCGACGCGGCCCAGGGACGGGGGCGGGGCCCCAGACGTCCAGGTGCAGGGTCTGCAGCGGCGCGGCGGTAGGGGGGAACGAGGAGGAGTGAGGGGCACGGCGAAGCCGACCCTCGACACAAGGCGTGCAAGGTGGAGCTGGGGAGGAGGGAAACGCGGGGAGTGAACCTGGGAGACCAAGGACAAGACCGTGCTGGGACATGTGACGCAGACGCGGGAGCGCAGGGTGACCTAGGCGGTGGTGCCACAGGAGGGTCGGGTGAGTGAGGGAGCGACAGGAGCAGGCAGCAGCAACCTGGGTAGACACAGCCACCTGAGGGGGCGCTCCAGCCGGGGGGGGCACGGTGTCCAGAGTGAACAGGCCGGACACCGGGTCCCGGGGGAACGTGGACAGGGGGGCACCAGTGGCGGCCTCGGTACAGACAGCATACCGCTCGTGACCAGGGAACGTAGTGGTGACGCCAAGGTCCTGGAGGCAGCCGACACCAACTAGGTTCCTGGAGAACGAGGGGATATGCAGACCTGTAAGAGAGCCCGAAGGAACCGCCGGACAGGGAAGGGTGGTGGAACCGCGGGCGACTACCGGGCCGCCGGAGGGGTCAGCAAGAGAAACGGCAGCAGGAACAGGAAGCGGCGTCAGGGTGGTGGAGTCGCGGAAGAAACACCGAGAGGCGCCAGAGTCCAAGGTGAAGGAAAGCGAAGCCGAGGGGTCTGGCGACGGAACGACGGCAGAAGCACCAAGACTACACAAAGCAGGGGATCCTACGCCTGACGCAGCAGGGGAGGCTAAGCTAGGCACACCTACACTAGGCAACAGTGAGTAATAAGTCGGAAGCACACTAGAGTCATCAGCATACATCACATGCAGAGCAGAAACAATGGCATCCATGTCCATATCAAAGATCTGAATCTGACGACTAAGCAAACTGTGCCAGTCCGGGAGGTCTGGCGACGGGCCGAAACGCTGACGAAAGAGGTCGTCCAGGCGACGAAAGCAGCGGGGAGTGGAGTGACCGATCTTACCGCAAACGAAACCGCGGCGAGGACCGGTCTGGATCTGGTACTGACAACGCCCGCCGGCAGAGCCACCACGCGGCACACCACCACGCGCCCGTCCACCGCCAGCGCCGGGCCACCCTGGCGGGAGAACACTCGTCTGCCGCGGCTGCGACGGCTGCTGCGGCTGCTGCGAAAGCTGCGACTACGGCGGCTGCTGCGGCTGCTGCAACTGCAGGGGCGGCGACTCAGCTGGACTGGGCAGGGTCCCCTCGTTCGCTCCAGCACCAGGCGACCCGACCCCACCACTACCCCCGCCCGCACCCCGCCGCCCCCTCCGCCGCGCCCAGCCTTGGGGCGGCGGCCCTTCCCAGAACGGGCCTGCGCTGCAGCAGCAGTCTCA